GCCAGCCCCCGGGCGCCGGGCCTGGCGGCGCAGTCGCGAGCGCTCGCGGGCCGTCGGCGCCGCCTGGACGCGAAGTTGGCGTCTGTCTTTCCAGCACCGGCCCCTGGGCAGCAAGGACACCTGAGACACCAACAGGCACCCCACCCTCCTCAGGTTGGATCGGTTCTCCTAGCTCCAACTCATATGCCCTCGCCGCTAGTGCGGGCGCCCGGGGGGCGGGGCCGGTGTCCCTACGGGACCCTGGTCAGGGCGTGGCACTCAGGGTTGGCTGTGGGCTGCTACCTCCTCGCGTCCTGTCTGCCCAGACCCAGCGAGGTTCTGGTCTTCCTACCGGAACTTTACGTGAGGGGACTAGGCAGAGGCTCATGTCTGATGGGTCTCGGCAACTTTTCCCCTTAAACCTCGCAGTAAGTCATTCAGCCTGTGCTCGAGAATGTATTGACCCTATCTGCAAAAAATTTTTCACTTCTGAAAGTGATTTTCTCATCCAAATTCTGCTCCATGGTTTTTATATTGGCATGTCTACACCTCTGTGATTCTCCAGTCACCCCAAATAGCTTCAAAATGAAAATTTAACACCCCGTGGAGGTCTTAGGTTGAGAGCCATTGCTACTTCATCCCTTCACTTCTTGCTGAGTTTCATTTCAGTTTTACTCTCCTACTCCCTGTGTCACTATGAAGATTTCATATACATTGTCCTTCTCTCTCATTGTGGGATTTTAAACCAATAAGTTATTTTATAATCAACTTCTAGTAAGCATATTTTGATGCCAGGCAACGGTTAATGCCAAGCTGGTTGAGACATGGTTCTTGAAGATCAAGAGTATAGGTAGAGGGCCGGCAAGTGGCATAATGGTTAAGGTGCTTGACTCCCACATGGCCCATGGTGATTTGAGTCTTGGACCTGGCACATTTTTTTTTTTTTTTTGAGAGGTTTTTGCTATAGGGCGCATGCGCTCACCAGACAGACACATAGAGACAGAAAGCGAGAAATCACCCCCCAGGGGGGATGGTCATGCTGCAATCCCTTCTCCTCCATTCTCCTCTCAGGATCTTGGGCACGCACGCACACGCGCCCGGCGTGAGTTTTAAGCCACCGGGTCCGCCACGCGAACCATGGTCGACTACGTGGGAGTCCAGCGACATAGCCATTACGCTAACTGCTGGTTCCCAGGACCTGGCAACTTGAAAAATCACACCAGGTGCATGTGTGTGCGAGTCCAAAATCCTGAGTAAATGGAGAAGGAACTGTGGTGTGGCCATCCACCCTGGGCGTGATTTCTTTATTTCCTTCTCTCTGCCTCTCTCCGTTCTTCAGTGACTGCATGCACCCTATAAGGAAAATCTCTCCAAAAAATAATAAAAGAATACAAGTAGTGTGTTTCATATCCAAGTACCACCTGTCCTTGAATTGTTTTATGTAAGTGGCATTTTACTTTTATATATTTATCTTTAAAAGAAACTGGCATGGGGCCAGCAGGTGACATGGTGGTTAATGTGACTGGATGCCACATGGCCAGCTGTAAGGTTTGGAGCAAGCAGGTGGTGTAGTAGTTAAGGCACTGGACTTCCATGTGGCCAACTGGAGGTAACGTCCTGGACCTGGTGGCTTGAAACTCACACCTGGCATGTGTGCATGTGTGCCCAAGATCCCAAGAGGAGACTAGAGGATCAGGGATTGCGGCATGGCCATCCCCTGGGCGGGGGGAGGGTGATTTTTCGCTAGTTTTCTGTCTCTGTCTCTCTGGAAAGTGCACATGCTCTAAAAAAAAAATGGTTTGAGGGGACCAGCAGGTGGCATGGTGGTTAAGGCGCTGGACATTCCCACATGGCTGACCAGGGTTCAAGTCCTGAATCTGGTGACTTGCTTTCTCACTTCCTCTCTCTCTCTCACTCTCAACCTCTGTCTCTCTCTGGTCAAATTAAAAAATAAATGAATGAATAAATAAAAATAAAATAATTATTTTAAAAAAAATGGTTTGATTCCCAGACCTGGTGGTTTAAAAAACATGCCAAGCACGTGTGCATGAGTGCCCAGAATTTAGAGAGGAAAATGGAGAAGGGATTTCAGTGTGGCCACCTCCTCTGAGAGGTGCTTTCTCATTCTCTGTCTCTGGTGACCACATGCACCCTATAGCAATAGGTAAATAAATAAAGTTAAAATTTTAAAAAGAAACTAGCATATAATTGGGAAAGAAGATAGTTGTGAAAGGTAGAAAGGAATCATGGATCCAAACAGAAAGAGCTGTACTGATAGGCGAAATGTGTTTGAAGACATGAGCCCAGGTCCCAAGGAGCAGAGAAGAGTGGCAGGAAGATGGGGACAGGGCAGAGGTAGTCAGACCTGAGTGTGTGGCAGATCTGAGGAGGGACACACCAACTGGAGAGGAGAGAAGAGGTGGGGCACTGAGGGACTAGGCCAGAATGAGATTTGAAGAATCCAATGGAAAGCTAAAGAGCCGGGAGCAGAGAGAAGGGAGCAGTGGTTTGAGAAGGGCAAAAGGAGGGCAAAGTAAAGAAAGACCCAGGAAGGAATGCCAAGAGCATTAAGAGAAGGAGACTGAGAGGCTCTAAAAGTGAGGACTGAATGGAAGGAAGAAGCAGATGGGGAGACCCTGGTGCAGGTGATAATCTCCACAGGACCAGGCAGCAGCTGGTGTCCTCCAGGTTAGCAGAGGAGAACAGCATTTCCTTTTAGCCCCTGGGGAATGAAGGTCATCCATCCAAACTCCAAAACCACCAGGGGGCAAGAGCCTGCCCTTCGCAGAACATTGCTGCAGAAGGAAGAGCAGAATGGGCACATTTGTAACTGCTCTGACATATTTGAGAGAAGCTTGACGGGTCTTCCATGTCTTGGAAGGGCAAAGTGAGGATGGGGTGCAAGGCAGGGGTAATTACTTTGAAAAGTAGGGAAGTTTCTCATAGCAGCTGGGACATCTAGGGGTGGTGCAGTGGGGGAAGAGATGCTGGGATATCTGGGCCGTGGTTTCATTAGGATCTCTGGCCACTTTCCTTTTACAGAGTCAGTAAGGTGAAGGAGTAAGTAAGGTGTAACCATCAAAGGAAAGAAAGACACTCCTCAGCTCCAGCCAGACTTCCACCCCTGAGGAAGGAGGGCTGTCACGTGAGTAAAATTTCAGAGCATGTTGCTGGTCGTGTCAGGAACTAGAAAGGTGAGCAGGAAGCACATTTCATATGACTCTTCTCTAGGATTTTGACTTTAAGTCCCAGGACTAAGCACTGGACCAGATGTAGAAGTTGTCAGAATTTCAAATTCTTCACAACAGCAGTGAGTTGTTTATTTATTTATTTATTTTTAAACAAGTCTTTTATTTAACTTTATTTATTTATTCATTTTAATTTGACCAGAGAGGAATAGAGTGAGAGAGAAAGAGCAAGAGAGAGTGAGAAAGCAAGCTGCCTTGTCTGGGACCCAAATCCCAGTCAACCATGTGGGAATACAACACCCTTAACCACCACGCCACCTGTCAACCCCCAAGTTACTTATTTTTTTAGAGATTTTTGCCTTAGGGTGTGTGCACTGGGGATGAGGGGGTGGCGGACAGACAGTGAGAGGGAAAGTGAGAAATCGCTTCCGGGGAGGATGGCCACACAGCAATCCCTTCTCCATTCTCCTCCCAAGATCTTGGGCATGCACATAAACACGCCTAGTGTGATTTTCAAGCCACTGGGTCCCGGACTCCAACTGTGGTTAGATTTGTGGGAGTCCAGCAACATAATGGCTACTTCATCTGCTGGCCCCCCCAACAGTGAATTTTTATTCCTGGAAATAAAAATGTCTGAGAACAAGGCCCCAGCAGAGCCCGTTTTCTGTGGAAGTCCAATAGCCCCAGAAATTGCAGTAGATTTTCAACTTGTGTTCATTCAGGAGAGCCCCCAAGGATTGTAGAGTCTGTATTCTGAGACTTACCCATTTTGTGAACTTGAGCAAATGACCCAACTTCTCTGAGCCTCGGCCTTATCTATAAAATAGAAGTAATATCTACCTTACAAGACTATCATAAACTTTAGGTTAATTCCAGTTAAATGAAGGAAAACTCATTTAAATAAAACATTGTTTGTTTGTTTGCTGTAGAGCATGTTTGCTCACTGGAGACACACACACATACACACACACACACACACACACACACACACACACACAGAGGGAAAGTGAGAAACCTTCCCCCAGGGGGATGGCCATGTCACAATCCCTTCTCTTCTATCCTCTTCTTGGGATTTTGGCCATGCACACGCACATACCCAGCATATATTTCAAGCTGCTGGGTCTGGGACTTGATCATAGGATCCAGCTACCTTAACCTCTGTGCCAGATTCACAAGATTTTTAAAAGGGCCTTTTTTTTTTTTTAAAGAATTATTTAATTTAATTTAATTTATTTATTTTAATTTTACCAGAGAGGGACAGAGTGAGGGAGGAGAGAGAGAGAGAAAGCAAGAAACCAAGCCACCAAGCCACCAAGCCTGGGGCTCAAATCACAGTTGTCCAAGTGGGAGTTCAGTACCCTTAACTACCACACTACATGCTGGCCTCTAGAAGTGCTATTTTTAAAACAACAATATGATGGATATGAAAGAAACACGAATCCTGGCATAGTCCTCTAGGCATCTCACTCATGGGATGGTCAGACATGGAATGGTGAAAACCTGGCCAGGCCACTGTGAAATTGAATACTAAACTATGTCATGCCCTCAGCCTCCACGGAAAAGGGGGCCCTGCCAGCAGCACTGGCTAAGGTGGGATGCATGACACAAAGGTCTACAGCGGAGCCCTAAAAGGTAAGCAGGTGGCCAGCAGGTAGAACAGATGTTAAGGTGGCTGGATCTCATGTGGTGACTGTGCAGTTCAAGTCCTGGAGTGAGAAGCTTGAAAATCACCAGGTGTATGTGCAGGTGTGCCCAAAATCTGTGCCAGGTCTAAGACATGAACTGTGTAGTTGGCCATGTGGGATTCAGCCACCTTAACCTCCACACCACTTGGCCGGTCCCCCTCAGCCCTTCTTTTTTTTTTTTTTTTTTTGCATGACTTTATTCTCAGGTAGTCCCCCTAACAGTGTCAGGATTACACTCTGACAGTGAAAAGGCCCAGCAGACAAGAGACCTTCTTTTTCACAGTAGTACTAAGAAAAGCACCAAAATGGGGTTTTAGTGTTTGGATTAGCTTGGGGAGCTTGCTTTTCTTTGTATATGTGACTATGACCAGGTGATGTGACACCTTACTTGGTTCTATGTTCTCTTCTGGAGTTGAGGGTGCATTCTGTCTTCTCCAAGCCCCACAGTTAAAAATATGGAAGAAGGTGCCAGCTGGTGATGTTCCAGTTAAGGCGACTGGATCCTGTGTGGCCAACTGCATGATTCAATTCCCTAATCTGGTGCCTTGAAAAAACATGCAGAGCATGTATGCATGCATGTCCAAGATCCCAAGAGGAGAATGGAGAAGAGATTACAACTTGGCCATCCTCCATGAGGAGTGCTTTCTCACCTTCTCTCTCTTCTTTCTCTCTCTGATGAGTGCACATACTCTATAGCAAATTTAAAAAAAAAAAAAAAGGAAGGAAAATACAAAATTGAGGGAAAAAAGAAAATATGAAAGGGACGCCTTCCAAAGGAAAGACATAGCTGTGAGGTTTAGTTACCTACCGTAGGAGAAATGGATGCTGAACAAAGAAAAGATACAGCGGATCCCGCCAGACTACCAATTCTGAAACCACAAGCCTATCGGAAAATCTTCTAGGCTCAGGTAATAGAATATTTCAGTAGACTTGAATTCCCCTGGGAATCAATACACCTTCTCTTGTTGTTCCAGGAAAGTTGTCTCCAGTGGGGAGCAGACTCAGCACTAAGAGGTTGAGCCATGTTGAGATCATGACAAAGGACACGCCATTGGTTTTACCTAAGTGCACTTTCCTCTCTCAAAGTATCACTTCTAGGCAAAGTGCTTCAGGGAATACTTAATGCTTTCAATGTGTTTGTAAAGCACCTTGAGTTCTCAAGTGGCATCACCTAAATGCATAGGTTTTTAATTGGGACTTTTTGAAGCACTGATTCCTGACATGGTCTAGCATTCTGATAGTGATCTTTGAAAACCAACCCATTTTCTCCCAGTCTGACTCAGCTGATTATGGCAGTAAATTTCCTCTAAAGCATCTTCCTGCTTTTTAATCTTTGAAAGAATTAAGAAAACCAACACATGTAAATTAGAAGTAATTCTCCTATAAGTCTATTTGCATTTACATTTATAAAACAGACTAATAATAATTTAATATGCGACATAAAAAGCATGTAAATCAGGGAAACATTAAATGTGCATATTTAGTCAACACATTTACTGAGAGCCTACCATGTGCCAGAGACTGTCCTATGCCCTGGAGATGTAGGAATAGCAAAGTAGATTTTTTAAATCCTTCCTTATATAAGGAGACTTTAAAAAGTTAAGGTGGCTGATCCCACCATGTGCCTACCATGTGCCAGAGCCTACCATGTGCCAGAGACTGTCCTATGCCCTGGAGACGTAGGAATAGCAAAGTAGATTTTTTAAATCCTTCCTTATATAAGGAGACTTTAAAAAGTTAAGGTGGCTGATCCCACATGGCCTAGCGGCTTGTTTTCTCACTTTCCCTCTCTCTCACTCTGTCCCTCTCTGGTCAAATTAAACTGAGGAGGCGGGCAGTAGGTGGCATAGTGATTAGGGTGCTGAACTCCCACATGGTTGACTGTAGTTCGATTCCCAGACCCTGCAGCTTGAAATTGATGCCAAGCATGTGTGATGTGTGCCCAAAAATCCTGAGAAGAGAATGGAATAGAAGGGATTGCAGTCGTGGCCATCCTCCCTGGGGTGTGATTTCTTGCTTTTGGTTTCTCTGTCTCTCCAGTGAGTGCACACACTCTCAAAAAAACCTTTTTTATGGGAAAATGGAATTAAACAATGAGTTTATTTTAATGTAAAGAAAGGAAATCTATGGATTATATTTTTATAATACACATTTTCTTTGACCTTTTTGAAGTTCTCCCTTCATATGACACATTCTGGTACATGTCATCATTTGTTTACCATCTTCATGTTACTGATATGAAATAGTAAGATTCCAATGAACATGCATGTCAAATTTTCAGTGACTGGGACCAGCAGTTAGTGTAATGGCTATGTCGCAGGACTCCCATGTAGTCGACCATAGTTCGAGTCCCAGACCTGGTGGCTTAAACTCACGCCAGGCACATGTGCGTGTGTGCCCAAGATCCTGAGAGGAGAATGGAGAAGAAGGGGTTGCGGCATGGCCGCCCCCCCCGGGGGGGGGAGTGTGATTTCTCGCTTTCTGTCTCTGTCTCTCTCTGTCTTTCTGGTGAGCACACATGCCCTATAGCAAAAACCTCTCCAAAAAAAAGAAAAAAACATTTTTTTTCAGTGAGTGCTTTCTCCATGCTAGACTTTCTATCAGTGCTTTCCAGACACAGTTGATTAGTCTTTCCTCTCTATATTAAATAATGTATTTTTAAAAGTATTTATTTCGGGACCAGCAGATGGCATAATGGCTACATCGCGGGACTCCCATGTAGTCAACCACAGTTCGAGTCCCAGACCTGGTGGCTTAAACTCACGCCAGGCACATGTGCGTGTGTGCCCAAGATCCTGAGAGGAGAATGGAGAAGCGATTGCAGCATGGCCATCCCCCCTGGGGGGGTGATTTTTTGCTTTCTGTCTCTCTGTCTCTCTCTGTCTTTCTGGTGAGTGCATGCGCCCTATAGCAAAAGCAAAACAAAACAAAACTCTCAAAAGATTATTTCATTTTATTTATTATTACTATTTTTCAAATTTTGATTAGAAAGAGACAGAGAGAGACGAAAGGGAAAAGTGAGAAAGCAAGCCACCCAGTCTGGGACTCAAACTACATGAGTCTAGCGCCTTAACCACCACACCACCTGCCAGCCCCCTTCCTAAGTATTGAAAACTGATTTTAGGAGCCAGTGTGTGGAGGTTAAGGCAGCTGACTGAGTGGTTCAAGTCTCAGACCCAGTGGTTTGAAAAACACACAGAGTGGTACTAGGTTAAGACAGTTGACTGAGTGGTTCAAGTCTCAGACCCAGTGGTTTGAAAAACACACATAGTGGGACTAGCAGATGGAGTAATGATTCTGTTGCTGCACTCCCATGTAGTCTATCGTGGTTCAAATCCCGGATCCAGTGGTTTAAAACTCATGCTGGGTGAGGGTGCATGCGTGCCTAAAACCCCAAGAAGGAATTTGTTAAAAAACTAAAATCAGGGACCACCAGGTAGCATGGTGATTAAGGGCACTGGACTCCCACATCCAGACTGTGGTTTGAGTCCTGGACCTCGTAGTTTGCTTTCTTGCGTTCTCTCTCTCTCTCACTGTGTCCCTCTCTGGTCAAATTAAAATAAATAAGTAAATAAAGTTAAATAAAATAATTCTCTTTTTTTTGGGGGGGTACCAAATTTCTTTATTTGAAGGAATGGTACAAATTAAAGAACTTAAGTGGATGTCGTGGTACAACTTATAGGAAACATAAAAGAAAGCCCAACACACATGCACTACTCTGGTGAGCAGGGAAGTCACCTGTGGCTCTGGGGAAGGTAGCCTCAAGCTTAGCTCTTGTTATCACAGTCTCCCAGGGTGTGCTTGTCAGAGATACTCCGCCATGCCAGATTCCAGGGCTCCCATCTTGCGCAAGTTAGTTACATGGTCACCCAATTCTTTGATGGACTTCACCTGCTCGTTCAGGTAATACGTCTCAATGTAGTCACACACACGGGGGTCATTTTTGTCAGTGGCCAGTTGGTACAGTTCCAGTAGTGACTGATTCACATTTTTTAAATTTTAATTTATTTATTTACATTTATTCACTGTACATCATTATAGCATACAAAATGAGATTTTTCCATTCACAGTACACTGTATATTGGCTCAATCAAGCACATCAACATATGTGTTATTGTCAACACATAATTTTCCATTTCTAGTTTTCTGTATATTTTGCCTTTTTTCCCATCCTTGATTCCCTATCTCACCCTCTGCCATCTCCCACCCTCCTCCCACATTGTGTCTGGTATCTATTGTTTCACTAAATATCTTAATAAATCTAAATATTTTCAGTAGCAAGCACAGCTGAAATATACATATCCATGAACACACGTCTGACCTTAGGCATAAACTTCAGTGAATAGAATGAACATACTATAAAGTAGCATCTACCTAGGGCTATATAGCTTACTGCAGTCATCAGATAGGTATTTTTAATGCCTTTTCATTTTTTTCTTCTGAAAAAATTTTTTTATTAATTTACATTCATTCCCTGAGCATCATCACAACATACAAAATGTGGTTTCCCATCTAGAATAAACTGGATAGTGGCTTAATTGTGCATTTTATCATCCATAATATTCCATTTCTAGTTTCATGTATATATGTTTTTTACCCCATGTCTGACCCTCTGTCCTATTCCACTCTCTTATTATGCTATCTCTGCTGTCTACCGTTATCTTCAATTCCTTTTCCCCCAACATTTCGTTGATCACACAATATCATAAGTAATCTAACTACTTACAATAGCAAGTTCAGCTGATGGTTTCAAGAAAAGCAGTTTTGAACTGGTAAGGATATTTCCTTGAAACTTAAGGCCTAGAAACAGGTTAGTATTCTGTTCAAATAGTAGGTACATGAATCCATTGACAGCTCAA